TAATAATAATAATAATAATAATAATAAATAAAATTAAATAATTCTTAAACAAAAAATAAAAAAGAAAAGCAAACTCCCATTCCCAAATTTCTCGAGCGTAGCTGGTTATGTCTCTGTGGGAAAGGCCACCGAAGTGGTGTACAGACACAGGAACCTTCTGAAACTACACTTTCTTACGGGACAACCATGTTTACCAACAAGGTCCCCAAAGGACTGCGTGTGCAATTTCGGGGTAAGGCTGGGCTGCCACTTTGCTGCGACTCTCAGGCAGTCACTCTGCAAGGGCAGGGCAGGAGGGGAGGGGCACGGGGAGGCTGCACCTACTTGCATTGGCGTTGGGGACAGGCACGGGCTGGGTGTAGTACGAAGGCGGATTCACCCCTTTCCCGTCCGGGCCTGTCACCAGCCCGGTGGCTGGCCCAGGCACCGGGGCTGGCGGGGTGGGGCAGTAACTGTTAACGGCCACCGTTTCTTCATAGGACGGAGGAGCAGTTGGCACTGAGGAAGGCCCAGCAGCCGCCTGGTAAGGTCCTGGAACCGACATCTTTACCTAAAACAAACACAGAATAAATTGATACCTGCTAAGAAAGTTTATCGCTCTCCCCTTCCCTGCCCGCCCCCTTCCCCTGAGTCTTTCATGTTCCATTGGGGGGAGGGATCTGAGAAAATGACTTAAATCTGGCCTTGTCCAAAAGCCAGAAAGGAAGTTAATGTTCCTTGAAGACCCAAGAATCTTCACCTTAACAAGAGAGTTCCTAAATGAAGATCCGAAGTACATAATTATTACAAAAATCACTAAAACCTAGCAAACCCCAAAGAAAAATATCCAACGAATTTGAGAAACTTCTTTATATCTCAAACCGTTACCTAACAATGACCTATCTTCCATATCTAGTTTCTTCTCTCTCTTCCTGTCTTTCTTTCTTTCTTTAGCCACTGTGGTTTGCACTGTTTCAGATAACAGAAAAGACAAAGCATTCAAAACCAACTACAGACTTTCACAAATATGGTATTAAGCAAAATAAACCAGATGCCAAGAAATGACATCGTATAATGTCACTTGCATGAAATGAAGTTCAGAAACAAGAAGACTGAACCCACGGGGCTAGAAATCAGGAAGATGGTTTCTCTTAAGAGGGGCAGAAGAGTCTAGAAGGGGAGGTCTTCCTGGGGGCTGGTTACGTTTTCTCTCCCTTTATTTTTTAATATTTCATTCTTTCTTTATGAGTGAGAGACATAAAGAAAGAAACGGACAGCATCCCTACAGGGTTCTTTTTAAAATTATTCAATTTAATTTTATTTATTATTAATTTTACAATATGCACTCACCCGAGGGGGGGAGGGAAAATGAGAAGGCAACCCTCCAGGTCTGTGTTGCCTTCTCATTTTCACCACCTTCTCCACCACGTCACCTGCAGCCCCCAACAGGGTTCTGACACCCCCAGCTTTAGCCAGCCTGGTCACGGATATACGTGGGGTGTGTTCAGCAAGGTCTCTCGATTCAAAGCCAGAACCCCATCCTATGGTCAGCCCCACAGAGTGTCACGTTTTACCACTGAGCCCCCGTCTGGTCCCCGCACTTTCTTTTTTTTTAAGAGAGATTTTTGGTATATAGCATGTGTGTCGCCAGAGAGACAGAGAGAGAAATCACCCCCCGGGAGTATGGCCACACCACAATCCCTTCTCCTCCATTCTCAGGATTTGGGGCACATACGTACACAGCCCAGAGTGAGTTTTAAGTTGCCAGGTCTAGGACTCGAACCACAGACAACTACGTGTCAGTCCAGTGACGCAACCATTACGCCATCTGCTAACCCACACTTGAAAAATATATATATAAATATGGGAGGAAGGAAAGGCACGCGGTCTGGAGCGTCAGCTTGCCTGCCTGCCGGGGGTCGGGAGGTGGTGCCGTGTGGATGTCAGGCCCGTCTCCCCTGGCGCAGAGACCCTGGCATTTCTCCCCAGCTCCCTGCGGCGTGGGGTGGGAGCGCCGCCTTTGGGAGAGGGCGCTGGCCCATCCCCGAAAGACGTAAAGATTAGATTTTAAGACGAGGAAATAGAAGCCATGTTTCGAGGACCTGTATTACAGGTACTTCATCAGTCTGTAGGGCATGAATCTGAAACAGCTAGCGGTTTGATCCTGGAAAGATCTCTGAATCGTGTGCAGTTACTCGGTGAGCGGGTCAGGACCCTGTCATGAGACAGGAGGAAGGAAAAAATCCAGTCACAATATTTCCTTGGGCAACAAACGAGATGTGGGGCTCAGGGGACAATGAGGTGTACCACACGGGTGATGGCAGTCGAGACAACTGGCGCAGAGTAGCCGTATTCCGGCCAGGCCTCAGAGATGTGGCACATCAGCATGTGAAGGAGGGGCCTCGAAGTTACGTGGAAGGGAAAGTAGACTACGGGAGTACTCGGGTACAGATACTGTGAGATGCAGGCAACGACAACCGGAGCTGGGAGCACTGTATTTCTGAGTGACCAGGCCAGAGAGAAGGTGGAGAATGGATGCTTCGCCTTTGGCCATTGCTTGGTACAGTCTCATTTCCAAATCATGTACAGTCTTTATACTTTCTGAGGAAAAGAATTAAAGTACTCCATATATATATATATATATACACACACACACATACATACACACACACACATATACACACACATATATACACACATATACACATACACACATATACACACATACACACATATATACACACATACACACATATATATACACCCATATACACACACATATATATATACACACACACACACACACACACATATATATTCTTCAGCTGAGGGCCTGTCACTCAGATAAGGTCACTTTGTGAAAATCTGAATTGAACAGTTAAGATACATGCACTTTCTTTTGGTATGTGTGCTAAAACTTTAAAAAAAAACAAAAACAAACACACGTACACACCAGTTCCCATTTTGAAAACTGAGTAACCCAACCAAGAGATACTTCCTCTAGTGAGAGCGGAGAAAGGCCCTTCCCCTAGCAGAGCTGTGGCCCCCAGACCCAGGGCGTGCTCCCGAGCTCAGCAGCCACAGGCCAGCTGGGGCCGGACACAGTGCCCTCCTTTGTGTGGCTGCCTTTCCAACCAGGCAGGGCTGCGGCTGTGTTACAAGGGCCGTTCAAACCTGCCTCGGGAGAGATGGGGAAATGAGCTCTCAGGGCAGCGTGCCACGGGCTGGACGGCCTCCTCCCCCCACACGTTCTGCCTCATTTTCCAGAACTCGTGGGAAGCAGAGGCAGGAATTCATCCTGCTGCAGGGAGAAGGAGAGAATCCTTTAGGAAGCTCTGCCTTTAAACCAAGCCCCAAAGAGGAGATTGGGCCGGAGGAACAGGGAAAGAATATGTGTAAATGAAAATACGAGGACAGGGAAGTGAACACAGTCAACAAAGCCAATAAAGCTGGATAGGCGGGGGCCAGGATCTAGAAAACTTTCAAAGACCCTTGGAAGTGTCTGGACTTTATTCCACCAGACAGGACCGTCTGACCGAACTTTCTGGGGGCAATGGGACATTCTCTATCTGCACTGTCCAATATGGAGGCCTCAGTCACATGGGGCTGTCGGGTACTTGAAATGGGACTGGTGTGACTATGGAACTAAATTTTAGCATTTGCATTTAGGTAATTTAAGTGGAAAAACTAACAATTCCATTTTTGGAAAGCTTTTAGGTGGGCCTAGGACAAACAAGGTATGTGAGTCTATTTTTTCAACAAGTAAATTTGATGAACTCTATAAGATAAAAATTCCTTTTCTAAAAAAAGAATTACTTATTTAATTCCATTTGTTATTATTTTTTATTTTAACCAGAGAGAGACAGAGAGAAAGAGAAAAAAGGAAAGGAAAAAAGCAAGCCACCAGGTCCAGGACTCGAACTGCAGTTGGCCATGTGGGACTCCAGTGCCTTTAACCGCCATGCCACCTGCCGGCCGCTAGATCAAAGTGTTTCTGATGAATGTTTAGCATCCATTCTGGGACAGGATGTCAGTGCAAAATACACCCTGGATTTCAAAAACACGGTATGAAAAATATCTCACTAATGATTTGTAGGGGGCAGACCATGGTGTGGGGGTTAAAATGGCTGGATCCTACATGGTCGAGTGCAGTTTGATTCCTGGACCCAGTAGTCTGAAAAACACACCAAGTGTGTGTGTGTGTGTGTGTGTGTGTGTGTGCCAAAATCCCAAAAGAAATGGAGGAGAAGGGATTGCAGCATGACCATCCCCCATAAGGGGATGCCCTCTTTCTCTCTCCAGCAAGGGCATGTACTCTGTCAAATTTTTTAGAATTTTTTACATTGATGATATATTGAGATGATCATAGTTTAGCTATATGGAGTTAAATGTTGATAAAATTATCGTTAAAGATATAGACATCAGGGCCAGCAGGTAGTGTGGTGGTTAAAGGCACTGGACTCCCACATGGCCAGTCATGGTTCAAGTCCCAGGCCTGATGGCTTGCTTTCTAAATTCTCTCTTTCGGTCTCTCTCCCTCCGATCAAACTAGGAAATAATAATGATAATAATAAATAAAATTAAATCACTCTTTAAAAATAAAAGATACAGTCACCTGCCTGTGTCTTTGTACTTTTAAAAAGGTGACTACTGGGCTGGCCTAGTGGTTAAGGGAGCTACACCTCATATGGCTGATGGCAGTTCAAGTCCTGGCCCTGAAGCCCTGAACACACACCAAGCGCATAAGCATGCATGCCCAAGGTCCTCACTGGTTGGAGAAGTGGAGAAGGGATTGCACAGCAGAGTGACCACAGCTCATGGGGAGGAGGGTGCATTCTTCCTCTCTTCTCTCTACATTTCTCTGTCAATCTTTAGGGAGTATACACATGCCTTTGGGGAAAAAAGGGCGGGGGGGAGGGGCAGCAGGTGGTATAGTGGTTGAAGTGCTCTCATATGTCCGGTTGTAGTTCAAGTCCTGGACCTGGTAGCTTAAGATTTATTCCAGGCATGTGTGCGTGCATGCCCAAAAATCCCAAGAAGAGAATGGAGAAGGGATTGTGGTGTGGCCATCACCTCCAGGGGCTAATAGCTCACTTTCCTCTCACTGTATCTCTCTGTCTCTGGTGAGTACACATACCGCATGGCAAAAACCTTTAAAAAATAGAAAATAAGAAGAAAACATGCAGATACTAAAAAATTTACGATCATCTATAAAGCTCGCTTTCTGGTTGTATTTGCACAGCAAAGCAATGGCACGTGGGAACCACAGAAGGTTATTAGAAGAGCAAAGACCCAACCCTAGAAAGGATAGCTGAAACAGGGTACAAGAGAAGCAAACTGCAGAGAGCCCCTGCACGTAGGTGGAGGGGTCTCCAGAGGAGGGGTAAGCATGAAGGCAGAAAGGGGGGTTAACAAGATCACAGGAGGCGTTTGTGAGAATAGGTTCAGGGTTTAGAACGGAGACCCGGCTGTAAAACATGGTTCGAGGCATGTTGCCAGCTTCCTCCAACATGTAAGAACAAAAATGCAAAAGGGGGGATGGGAACCAGCAGTTAGCGTAATGGCTATGTC